AATGTAATAATTATAAATGCTGCTGGTAAAAGATTAAATATTAATATATATATGTATATATTAACATATATGCTTGTATAATCGACAAAAAATGCTGTCAGAAAAATTGTCGATTATAACAGTATAATCGACAGCCAAAGTGGCTGTCAATTATAAAGGTATAATCGTCAGTTATTTCTGTTGATTATACCCAGTATAATCGATAACTTTTTGATAATCAACAGAGTTCTTGTCGATTAATGAAGTGTAATCGACAATTTTTTTATTGTAGATTACATTTTTGTTGTTTAAATTGTGTTTTCTAGTAGTGTTAAGCTCCGTCTCGTTCTCTTGATTTTTTGGTTTTAATTTTCAAATTTTAATAAATTAAAATTAATAATTAATAATGAATAATTAATAATTTAAACTTGTTAAGTATAAAATTTTAAAATAAATATTTAAAAGTTTAATTTTTTTGTAAAAAAACTTTAAACTTAATTAATTTATAAAATTAATTAATTTTATTTTAAAATTTGTAAAAATTTTAATTAATTTATTGGCAATACGTTTTTGTATTTATTACAAGTTGGTGGAGAGGGTAAAATTAGAAGAAAAAAGTCTGTTTTATAGAGTTCTTAAGACGTCAAATAATTAGAAACAAATTTTAAATCTTAAAAATAAACCAATTATATAGAACAAAATATAGCAAGCAATTAAAAAATAAATTTTTGATCATGTCCTCTTAAAAAAATTTTGAAGAATAACGTGTTAATAAACCATTTATGTGTAAGTACCTTGCATCAAAGATTTTGTTAATCAAATCCTATACTACTTTCTGTGAATGCTTCATGTCTTTCATCTCATCATGTCTGCTCAGTTTAACGTTTTGAAAAAGTTTCCGAAGCAATAAAATACCATAATCACAGACTAATTATTCTCTGGATCAACATCATACTATTAATGTACTTTTGAAATTTGATTTGAGATTTGAGATGGATCGCAAGCTACAAACACAGGAAAAACATCAACTTTCCCACAATCTCATCAGAATTCTTCTTCCTCCAATTGCTCGAAGAGGAGACCGGATGGGCCACCATGGAGCAGCAAAGCCAATCTAACTGGACCTTCAGCACCTTCTTCAACACTCAGATTCCTGTATAATAGTTTATATCAGTTTTGACATATCCAGGGCAGACACAATTGATGCAGATGCCTGGGTACTTCTTGGCCAGAATCCTTGTGTCCGCATTCATGGCAGCTTTTGAGAGTTTATAGGCAGACAAATAAGCAGGCCAGCCTTTGGTTTCCCATGAACCCTCTTTATAATCTTTCAAGTATTGGCTCAATACCCCATCCACTCTCTCTTCAGTAAGGTTTTCAACATCACCTAAGACTGCTTTCGCCCATTCATTTGATACATACTGAAAAATGCACTCCAATTTTAGCAAAGTTGGTCACTTTAATACATGCTGAAATATTTAAGTTGCTTCTGAACTTTACCTCTAACTTTCCTGCAGAGGAAGAAACATACACAATTCCTGGAGAATCGGATAACTGGAGGAGGGAAATTAGTGCTTCACACATTCTTTTGGCACCATGGTAGTTTGTCTTGAGGCCCTCTTCAGCTAACTCGTGTTTGAGTAAGCATCTGAGTCCAGTTGACTTGTGCACCAGGCTGAGTTTTGATGATAAGCAAAGATTAAACTCTTAAGATTCTCAAACCAAGGAAATGGATTATATACAGAAGACATACCTTAATTTCCAAAATCTGAAGCTTCTATAGCATCATCATTTGCTATGGCACCACGAATTCCTGCATTGTTCACCTGCACACGATTGGTAATTTCAAAATCCTTGACCAAATACAAAGCAGAAAATCCATGTTTGTGTATGTGTAATTCAAGCAACCAAACAAAGGATCATGTTCCCAGGAAAACAATACTGAATAAATATAAACTGATAAGGTAGAGAGGCTGGAACTCAAATATACCAAGATATCAAGCTTTCCAAACTGGGATTTGATGAAATCTGCCAGAGACGCAATACTGGCGGGATCTGCAACATCAAGTTGACGAAAAAGGATAAAGTCAGAGAGACCAGATTCTCTGAGCTTTTCTACAGCTTCAATGCCCCTTTTCTCATCTCTAGCAGTCAAAACAACAGTCACCCCTTTGGAAGCTAACTGCTTTATATTCCCAGTCCAATCCCCTTGTTTGCCTCGGTCACCACCGCATACCTGAGAGATGATAGAAAGAACGATGTACGGTAAAAGAAGATTGGGAGTGTAAAGACAAGAAATTCCCAAGGAAACAAGTACCTGTTTTTTGCAAGAAAGGTGGATATATCTTCCATCTGTTTTGAGAGAAGATGGATCTAATAAATCTGAAACTTTGAAGGTAGAGAACTGATATGTAAGGAAGGAAAGAAACGCAGGAAAAATATAAAGACAGCAACATAGAGGACAACAATTAAGTACAATGATTGAACATTTTTTATTCCCAGTAACATGGTTAGGAGATCCAAATGACATGTTTTTTTGCAAGAGACAGTTAATCAAAGTTGCTTGAAAAGCCAACACTAGTCCAATTAAAATGCTAGACCATTGACAAATTGCGAAGTTGGTTAATCTTTTGAATACATTTGTACAGTCAATTACAGTGGCTGACATTTTTTTAGGTGTAAGTGATGACTATATATAATGAATAAAGTTGGGCGTTGTCTGGATATAAATATTCAAATGTACTCTAAAAAATATAAGAATTTAGAGGATGTTAAACTACTAATAGTCTAATACAAGCAGATGTTTCCGAAGGGTTTAGGTCTGAATTCATTCTGAAATATGAGGAAAAGCTTCAAGCTTCAGCTGAAGCTTGTACCACACATTCTACATTTTAAATGCGCTTTTGTATGGTTGAGATTCTGGGATGATACACAAGCCAAAAACAAAGGAAAAGACATCAGCTTTCCCGCAATCTCATCAAAATTCTTGTTCCTCCAATCGGTCATAGAAAAGGCCAGAAGGACTACCATTTGGCAGCAAAGCTAATCGCACAGGACCTTCAGCACCTTCTTCAACACTCAGGATTCCAGTATTATAGTTTACATCGGTTTTGACAAATCCAGGGCAGACACAATTGATGCAGAAATCCGGGTACCTCTTGGCCAGAACCCTTGTGTACGCGTTCATGGCAGCTTTTGAGAGTGTGTAGGCAGACATATTAGCAGGCCAGCCTTTGGTTTCCAATGATCCTTCTTTAAAATCTTTCAGGTATTGGTTCAATACTTCATCCACTTTCTCTTCAGTAAGGTTTTCAAGATCATTAAAGACTGCTTTCGCCCATTCATTTGATACATTCTGAAATATGCACTTCAAATTTAGCAATGTTTAACCCACTTGAATACATTCTACATTCTGAAATTTTAAAGTTGCTTACTAAGGTTATGACCTTTTACCTTTAACTTTCCCGTGGAGGAAGAAACATTCACAATTCTTGGAGAATCAGATAACTGGAGTTAGGGAATTAGAGCATCACACATTCGTTTAGCACCATAGTAGTTTGTTTTGAGGCCTTCAGCAGCTAACTCATGTGTTTCAGTAATAATTTCACTCCAGTTGATTTGTACACCAGGCTGGGTTAATAAGCAGAAATTAAACTTTCTACTGCAAGCAAAAAACTTCAAAGCAAGAAAATGGATTAGCCAGAACATTTACCTTTCCAAAGCCTGAAGCTCTTAGAGCATCACCATCTACTAAGGCACCTGTAATTCCTGCATTGTTCACCTACAACATGGTTGATGATGTCAAAATCATTCAGCATTTCATTACATATGAATGTGGGGAAAATAAAATAATTAGAAGCTAGCAGTTTGGGGGTTCTTAGGAAATTTTCAGTTCTTGAAAAACACAAAGAACTAGTACTCAGAATACTAAAAGTGAATTCCTTAATCCCTACTTAGGTAAATAAATGGCTGTTCCTGATTCACAGACAAATCCAGAGCAGAAAGTTCATGATTCTGTAAATGTCATCGAAGCAGCTAATGGATTCTTCAGGGCAACAGGAAAACATTATTGAATAAATATACACTGATAAAATAGAGAGATTGAAAAACTGTAACGCAGATGTACCAAGATATCAAGCTTTCCTAACTGGTTTTTGATGAAATCTGCTAGAGAAGCAATACTGGCTGGATCTGCAACATCAAGTTGATGAAAAAGGATAAATTCAGAGAGACCAGATTCTTTGAGCTTTTCGACAGCTTCAATGCCCCTTCTCTCATCTCTAGCAGTCAAAACAACAGCCACCCCTTTGGAAGCTAACTGCTTGCATATTCCCAATCCAATCCCCTTGTTTGCTCCGGTAACCACTGCATACCTGAGAGATGAGAGAAGGAAAGATAAAAGGCCAAAGAAAACATGGAGAGTGTACCTATTTTTTGCAAGAAAGGTGGATGCTTCTTCCATCTCTGTTGAGAGAAGATGGACCTGAATCTGAAGCTCCGAAGGTAGGGAGATGATATGTAGTGAAGGAACCTCAGGAATGGAATAATATTAAGTCAGCAACAAAGAAGGCATCAATTAAGTACGTTGTTGGGAGGTCCACATGATGTGTACGTGGTTGCTCAAGATGTCATAACCAGTACGACTAAAACCGTAAACTATTAATCAACTTGCTGTTGGAGAAACTTTTAAAATAAAGAAAAGAAGACAATGGTTAGAATATGGCATAAATAAAAAGATGTATTTTTATGTTAAAACTCTTTAAATTGAAGGGCATATCTGTAAAGAGGCGTTTTTTAATTAAAAAAACACATTATTTGTAAACAGCCTTGTTTTCATCCTTTTGAGAGAGAGAGTCCTATCTATAGAAAAATAAAATCCTAATGAAGAGTAAATAGATTTCAATATGAAACAACACCCTGCTGTTATTAGAATAAAATTAATAGTCTCCTTTTGTCCAATGAATATTACAAAAATTCTTGAATGAAAATGATAGTTTTGCTAATTGAAATCGTGAGATTTAGTGGTTGGTTTCATCAATATAAGATATAATTAATATAACCTAACGAAAAGTGGTATTTGCGGCACACTTTGAGGTCAATGATCTATTTTCTAATCTCTTGACTCCAACACCTGCAAGGTTAGTTAGCCTTTTGAACAATTTGATATAATCAATTACATGTGGCTGACAGCGGCTTAACATAGATTTTAAAGAATAGGTGAATGAAGAAGCCTTGGTATAAACTAGTCTGGTTCTCAGACACTATACCTAAGCATAGTTTTATAAGTTGGCTTGCTATCATTGACATATAAACTACAAAGGCTTGCCAGAAAAAAATAGACTCCCAGTATTATTGACACTATAAATTATTTGTGGATGGAGAGGAATACAAGGATTCACAAGCAGTTGTTCAAGACCCAAGCAGCTATAGTTGCTGACATCCAGTTTGAAGTCAGGAGCAAGATTCTTGGTTTTGCCTCTGCAAGGTCTTCCTCCAAACAATGTGAGAAATTAATTGTGGGCACACATGTTTGACAGTCCGTTTTTTACAGTTTATTTTCTGTAGCAGCATCATTGGCTGCATTGATGTACTCTTAATTCTCTTGGATAAATAAAATCAGATGCATTCCAGATAGAAATATCCTCAAGAAATATCAAAATTTAGAGAGGATGTTAAATAACAAATACAAGCAGGTGTTTCAGATGGTTTTAAGGTATGAAATCGTTGAGAAATAGTAAGAGAAGCTTCAAGCTTCAGTTATATAGCTTCTGCCAAATTTTACATGAATGAAACAAATTAGCATCAAGTAAGCTGCTTGACGTCATCCCTTGCATGCATGCTGCATCCCGTAATGTGGGCAATCAAAACATGTTACAGATGAATGTGTTATAAAAAATTTTGTAAGGAAGCAAAATACCATAAATTACAGACTTTGTTACTCCTTACTCGCAAACAATGTTTATATTTAAATGATATTTATTTATTTATTTTATCATATATGCTTTTACTTGTTTGAGATTCCAAGATCATCATAAAGCAGTACAGAGGAAAAAACATTAACTTTCCGACAATCTGATCAGAATTCTGATTCTTCCAATCGAGAGAAGAAGAGACCCGAAGGGCCACCATTTGGCAGCAATGCCAATCTCACCGGACCTTGAGCACCTTCGTCAACAGTCAAGACTCCTGTATTATAGGTTATATCAGTTTTGACATAGCCAGGACAAACACAATTAATGCAGAGACTGGGGTGTTTATTAGCCAAAATCCTTGTATAGGCATTCATGGCAGCTTTGGAGAGCATATAGGCAGTCATAGAATCTGGCCATCCTCCAGCTCCTAGTGATCCCTCTTTAAAATCTGTCAGATATTTGTTCAACACTTCCCCCACTCTCTCTTCTCTTCTGTAAGGTTTTCAGCATCACTTAAGATTGCTTTTGCCCATTCGTTTGATACATTCTGAAATAGAATCATGAAATGAACTTAATAGCAGTCAAGTGATTTAAGTCATGCTTGGAAAAAATGATAGCA